TTGGACCAAGAGGCAGTCATCAGAACAGAGCAGGGAGAGACTGGATGGTTCAAAATTAAGAAAGAGGTCTGTCAGGAATGTATTTTGCCTCCACACCTTTTCAATCTGCATGCAGAACAGATCATCCGAGATTCTGGGCTATACGAAGAGGAATGTGGCATCAGGATTGGTGGAAGACTCATCAATAACTTGTGTTATGCAGATGACACAACCCTGCTTGCTGAAACTGAGGAGGACCTGAAGCACTTTCTGCAGAGGGTCAGGGACTATAGTGTTCAATATGGGTTGAAGGTCAATATCAAGAAAACAAAGATTCTCACCCCTGTGCCAATTGGCAGCGTCTGTATGGGTGGTGAAGAGATTGAGATAGTTAACAGTTTTCATTTACTTAGTTCCACAGTCAACACTCTTGGTAACAGCAGCCAGGAAATCAGGAGATGAATTGCATTGGGAAAGTCAGCTGTGAGGGACCTCTCAAGATTACTGAAGTGCATCGATGTCAGGCTGAAGAGTAAGGTGTGCCTGATCCAGGCTATAGTCTTTGAAATTATGTGCTATGCTTCGGAGAGTTGGACCGTGAATAGGGATGATAGAAAGAGAATTGATATCTTTGAGTTGTAGTGCTGGAGAAGAGTGCTGAATATACCATGGACTGCTAGGAGAACAAACAGGTTTGTCCTGGAGAGTGTGAAGCCAGAATGTTCCCTGCAGTCAAGGATTCTGAAGTTTCGCCTGACATACTTTGGGCATGTTGCAAGGAGGGACTTGGAGAGGGACATCACGTTTGGGAGAGTGGAAGGACGGCGCAGGAGAGGAAGACTCTCAATGAGATGGATTGATTCTGTGAGTGGAGTGGTGGGAATGAATGTGTTTGAGACAGCGAGTTTGACACAGGATAGAACGGCGTTTAAGGCTCTTGTACGTAGGGTCGCTATGAGTCGCAAATAACTTGATGGCATATAACAAAAACAACAAAGTACTTGAAGGTCTCTGTTCTGCACTGAAGCCATGTATGAATCTCACCTTAATGTAGACACCTGGCACCAATGCTATAGGCCTCCTTTGTGCTCAGAGAGTTACAAGAATTCTTTCCTCTGCTTGAAGTTCTCTTGTCCTATTTGGCCCCCGGGATGACCCCACAGCCACGGAGGGGTCATATAACTCCAGGGATGCCTCAGTCCCGTCTCCCCACAAGAAATTGAGAGAGCTCACTCTAGGCACATATCCTCACTTTTCTCCTTTTCTCCTGCAGTTTTGTGTTCTCCTTTGTCTCTCACGTAAACGAATTTTTAAAATACAATTAGCCTCCCTTGACATAGGCAATGTCATGTTTTAAATAAACACATCAATTTTTTCCTACCTTGTTCTTTACATAATTACTATTGATCATTGGCTTTATAATTTACATTGTGCTTTATACAGCATGTTGTTGTTGTTGTTATGTGC